TGAACGTGTTAAAAGTGGGAATTATTGTGTTAAATTGAGAATTAAGTGGATACGAGTGGAAGTTCAAAGCGCATAGATTTGGCTCCTTATCGAACGGAGCGGTCGTTTTCTTACGAATTTCTCAACGATCCGACGCGAGCGTTTTTCTCTTTGTCGAGAAAAACGGTTGATTACGATTCCGGGAGCGGGGCCGGTGATATTTCACCTCTTTTCGAGGCTTTACGATCGGACGTTTTTAATTTCCCCCGCGCCCGTGCACGCCTAAAGAAGGAACAGAGCCGAATGCAAATTGTGACGGGAAAGTTATGCGGCACCGTGAAATTAATGTCTTTCCGAGATCGGCCAACTTAATAGGCCTTCCCGCGTTTTCTGTCGCGCGTGTACGCGCGCGCCTACCCCGAGTGAATTTATTCGACGACTGACTCGATCCTACGCTCGATGAATCGCGAATCGTAATCAATAAACTCGAGGGCCGGCCACTCAAACTTCAACGTCGCTTTATCTAGGAAACTTTCGATTTTAAACAGCAGTTGGTTACGGTGTTGGCAAATTACGAAAGTGCAACTCCGATTGCGTGGATCCACCAAATTTCGAGAGCAAACAAACCTCGTTTCAGGCTCAAAATTAATTTGCTTTTATCGGGGATGACGAACTGACTATGAAACTGGCTAACAAGAGCTAGGAAGAGTTTATTTTGAATATACGCTTGTAGAAATTCGAGAAATTTAAATATTGATAAATATATTCTGAACAAAATTCAAATTCGTGTGAAAGAATCCTTTCCATAACATGACACATTGTCTATCGATTTCTAACATCTCAACAATATGACGTTTATGTTAGATATAAAAATTTGGACCAGAATTATAATTGCGTGATTGGCTACTGCTATTTGGGATAAGAAATTGTTTAGATTATAATAAATTATGATTCGTAGGTAGAACGATGGGGACGATCGGGCCTGTGATCCATCGAGCTCCGTTTTTGATCTGCATCGTTCTCGTCGTCGTTTTCCCGATCGTGATTTCGACAAACACCGACAAGGATCAACACACAAACACGTACACGAGAAAAACCGAGGACAGCGCCGTAATTTCGAAAAGCTCCAAGGAATCCAAGCTTCCCTCGCGCGATGAAGAAAACGAATCGATGGTAAATATCGTTTTCGTTACACTATAAATTCATCCACAGCAACAAACCACTCTAGAAATCTATTTAATCACCGACAAATAATAATCCATGTCGCCAATGATCTCGTTGCCGACACAACGTTAAGCTTTCAAATAAAAAAAAAATATAATTTTTTACCCAACCGAAGCAAGACAAAATGAAAATTTTCAAACCGATTTCGTCTATATTGCGGAACTTCGAACGGCCAGTTCGACTCGTCGGTTCAGAAACACCCTGTACGTGGTTTTAAAAGTGGTAGCGCGCCTTTGAAGTTCGCTGGCAGAGAAGAACGAGACGCACCGTCTGCGCCTAGCAAATAAAATTCGTCGCGCGACGAGCACCGTAAGAAAACAGTGGAGATAGATTCTTAAAGCGCGAGAGAAGGACACATACGCGTTGTCCAAACGTTACGTGCGACCAGAAAAGGGATTACTCTCGCAAGACGCGAGCAAACGCGGCACGACAGACGTTTCCTTTCGGACGCGTTTTAATATCTCAGGCATTAATTTCTTTTCGCGGGAAACATATATTGTTCGTCTCACTTTGTCTTCGCGCGACGCCCGCGCGTTTCCCACCTACTCCACCCCCTCCCCCTCCACAGCGATTCGTCCTTACGCCGGATGACAAAATGACAAAGGGGTGGTCGCCCCCGGGCCAGCGATATTACCGTTTCCGTTTCGGAACTATGCGAACTGTCTACGCCCCTCCGGCCCCGCGTATTGCGGCCGAAAACGTCTCGTGATTGATTATGCTCGCCGTACTTTTGGCTCCCACTACCCTCCAACGGAACGCGATTGATGGAGAGGCTGTGAAAGGAACCTCGGTAAACGATCGAGGTGTCGTTAGGAAGTCTTTTAACGCTGAAAACGGGGCCGTTCCAACTTGAAAATATCTATTTTAACGAACTTGCTGGCCACCAACGATCCACGCGGAATGCGTCTTTCCTGTCTAAATCTAGCTACAGAAACAAAGATTCAAAGATGGTACGGATATGCACTTTGGATAGTTTCGAAATTCAGAACGAAGAAGAAAGGGCCCGTAGAATTTCCTTTCGTCGAGTCGGATATGAGTGAAAGCTACACCTACAGAAATAAAGATTCAAAGATGGTGCAAGTAACGTACATACTTTGGATAGTTTGGAAATTCCAAACGAAGAAGAAGGGACCCATTGAATTTCCTTCTGTCGAGTTGGATATGAGTGAAAGCTCAAGTGCATGCAGACTATACGATTAAATGTTAGAATGGCCAGAAACCCCATACGGTTCTAAACGTGCAAATATTAATTTTATTTTCAGGTATTCTAAGATAAACTAGTGTGACTTATGGACGAGACATTTAAAAACAATTCTCAGTTTTCCATTTCCAGAGTCCTGAACGCGTTAAGAAACCCTGTAGTCACGTTTTTGTTGGTCAACGTTGAACGCTCGAACGCTTAGTAGCGTCCGCAGTAGTCAAAGGGTTAAACGTGTTTCTGTGAATATCGAAGCGACTCGTGGGAATCGCCCAGCGTGCTCTTTACGCCCTAACCCTTGATTCTAAACAACTCTGTACTCTTTGACTCTTTGACTATGCCTGCACTCCTCGATCACTCACTGTTCGATCATGTTCTCTCGCGTATGCGTTTACACGTGCAACTCAAAATTTCTCGCGGATTCGTTAACCCAGTTATTCTGTTTAGAAAGCATCATATTATACAGACAATAACGCTTCTGCGTTCGAGACAAACGACAGGTTTAACACTAGATTTACGGAAACCGTCAATTTGACGGGTGTCTGATTCCATATTTAAAATTGCAGAACGCGTAAATATTATTTTTTAACAACTTATGTTGAATTTGATTGATGCACTGGCATGAGTACATATTCTAATTAAAAGAAAAATCGTACTGTATGGTAATCGTCAACATGAAAGGTATCAATAAATATCTAGTGTTAAAATAGTACAAGAAAAATATATTTCACAAGTTTTCTTTTCAATTTATTAAAACGCAAACCCTGAAATATCTCGATGCACGTAAAAATGTACTCACGATAGAAACAAGCTTTTTTCCCCCCACTTACAGCGAATCGCCCTTACAGCGTACGAATACGAGACCGACTGTACCATATATCTGGCGCGATGCAAATGAAAGCGTAGCGTTCACACAACATTCAACAAGTGATCATCGCAGGGGAATAGCAAGTTTCATTTGGGAGCCGCAATGAATACCGGGGCGAAGGTGGATCGTCGCCGAGCATGTCCGAAATCTCTACGACCGTTTCGCGGCAAACAATGCGACCCCGAAAAAAAAAACACACACACACACACGTACAAAGTAAAATACATTAAAGCGGGACTTCATTAAGGTCCGGGTAGAGGCAGGGTGAGAAAAAAGGACGAACGAGAGGGACACTGGAGGACCGAAGGAGAAGCGGCCGCAGACACGAATGAGAGAAGGTGTGGAAAAGGAAGATGGCGAGTGTTTATTTAGTTTTAAATGCCGCGTGTAATTGGGTGTAAGACTTGTTTTTTTCTTTTTCTTTTTATTCGGGCGACACGACGACCGTCGTCGGTACGAAAAGGGCCAACTCCGACTGGTAAGGGCAGCAGAAACACCAGCACCAGCACCAGCAGCCCTTCCTCGGCCTGGTGTTTCCACGGCCGAGGTTTCCACCCCTTTTTCCGCGTGCTGGCAGCCACCTGATGGCTGGCTGGCACAAGGGCCCGCCGGGAATGAGATGCAGATTGCCAGAGGCCACTTCAGCCGCTAGAGGGAGTGAATTTTTAATAACACCGTGCCCGTATCCGCGGCGGCCCCGCGCGTTTCTCCGCGTAGGATCCCATTGTCTTGGCCGCGTCGTACGCGTTGGAAAAAGGACGAGATGCGTAACGGAACCGCGCCCGGTATTATTATTATAGGAGGAGAATTGTCAGCGACAGGACATGCCCGGCTCTCTGAGAGCCTCGTCCGGGCCCTGTGCCTTCCAACACCAGTTTCGCGAACGCTGAATGAAAACCTCGGTCTCGCCGCGATATATGCGATCCGTGGACAACAGGTTGCAATTTATACTTCAGATAATCACACTATTGTCCGAAACCAAGGTCCTGCGTTCTACCAGTTTACTATTTCAATAAAAAATTCTAACGACTCGTGATACTCCTTGTTTTTCGTAATTATTAAACATACAAAACACTACGGGTATTTATATATTTACGTGGAAGAAGAAAAGTTACATTTTGTACAGGATGGTCTACGCCAACGATATTTATCGCTGATCAGAGGCAGCTTCATAGAAAAATCAATAATCAGAGAAACTAAAACGAAAACACAAAATACAAACTTGAAAATACAAATTCTCTCCGATATTTTCATTTTCAATTTCTCTGTAATAGACGAAAAATAACGAAGGCCATCGTGATCCGCAATCGGGCAAAATCAACGACAACAGTGCCGCGTTGAACAGGTTCCTGGAGAACGTTCTGAAGAGTCGAAACGATTTCAAGTGGATAGACGAAGCGGTGCGTAACGTTAATCGCGAAAAGGATTGGGGGAAGTGAGTTTATATCAATTTGTAGCAGCGGTTAGCGTCGCGTGTTCATGAATAAAACATACGGACATTGAGCACTCGGTGTCTCGGTAATTCTGACGGAACACTTGTCGATAAGATCACTGTCGGAACCGTCACACTTGGATGGAATCTCCTCGCCAGTTAGCAGCCTCCGTAGCAATAAATTACGCGAGAAAAGAGACTCGGATCAGGCCTTCGAAACAATGTGGACGGCGTATAGGGCGAAGCACGAGCACGAGAATCCTTCCAAACATCCTCAGAGAGTGTTTTTGGACCGCGATATGACGTTCAAGAGGAACGCCAATTTCGATGATCCGGACACGCCACAAAACAGGTACAGAGTTCCAATCTTTGCGGCTAACCTCCATTTCTTATCATTTTTTTATACTTTTACTTTTCTCATAAAATAATAGAAAACCACATATACAATACAATATAAAACTTTGAAAATATTTGTAATTACTAAACTTATGGACAAAGTTGTAGCGCGAACTAGATTTTATTTATCAATAAATTGCAGCCTGCTCGGTGCAAAGGATGCCTTTTGTACACCAACGCGTGCAATTAAGGGTTAACGAACCTAAAAACGAAGCCTGGTATTCCAGGGGTTAATTGCGTATTAAACGGAACACGTTATTTCAGTGTGAACGAAAAAGAGGCACCTTCTCCTCTAAGGAACAAGGGAACGATGGACGATCAAGTACCAAAAGATTGGACCAGGACGGAGGATATTTGTTCGTTGAGCGATTGGTTGAATTCGAACAAAGAGCCCGAGACCGAGGAGGAGAAGCGAGGTGATCGATGGATCCGTGATCACGAAGCCGGTCAAAGAAATCAACTTAGTATGAGCTATTACTTTCGACGTTCCGTGGAACGAATCTTCGAAATTTCCTGTAAGTGAATTAAACAGATCCTTCGAACTCTGATAAAGATGCGGGTGAAAGATATAACGTAAGAAGTCTACGGGACGAGACGAAAAAAGAGGATTCCCCGTCGTTGGAGACGCTCGAGGAAACGGTGTTGGAATTGAAGAAAAATCTCGACGAGGGCGAGAAGAAGGTGCACGATGATTCGAAAACTGCAGACTCCGGTAGGGTAAAGGATGAACCGAAAGAACGAAGGGCTCGCGAAAGGAACAAACACGAACGAAACGAGGACGACTACGAACGTATTTCGCTACTATTTTCATTTTCGTTGCACCGTTAGGGAAATACAGTAATTGACATTCGATTTTCCACCTTTTCAGCGGTAGACTCCAGGTGGTGGGAGACATCCGGGCCGGATGTCTTTGATGTGAAAAAAAATGAACCGAGTCCTGGAGATCTTGATGATAAGAATGCACAGCCGAAAGTGTGGAGAACGAAAAGGACCGAAGTTAATAACGAAGACGGTAACCCGAAACTCTTTCACAGAGCGGGGTTTGGGGAGCCGTACCTTGAAGAGAAAACCCTGAAAGAGCTCCACGACCGTAAAAGACGCAGCAAAGGGACTCCGTCGGATGAGAAACGTTATTTGAACGAGGTTCGTGATAAAAACAACGTCCAGCACGGCGAAAAGAATTCGATGATTACGCTCGAGGAACCGAATTACAACAACGCGGCGAACGATTTGCAAGAAGGTACACTGTCGAACAACGTCGACGACGTTTCGAAAAAGATTCCGAACGGATGGAACGTGGATGGAAACCGAGACGCGAAAGAGAACGACGAGCAATCGGAATCATCGCGAGGAAAACCGAACGAAACGGAGAAGAAGTTAACGAAGTACGAGGAAAAGGGTGAAAATCTCGAGGGAGATTCTTTGGGAACCTTTGGTATCGCGACGAATGAATTGCAGCCTGTTTCCACGGAAACCTTCGTGAGCACAGACGGAAAGGAAGAGGCTGCCGATACCAGAATGCAGAAAACGGAAGAACAACAAGAAAATGTCGGCACGAGCAAGGGAGAACAGGTGATCAAAGTCTCTGAACCTCAAGGGCGTCTGTATGAAAACAGTGAACGCACAAAGGAGGTCCAAAGGATCGAAGCGGATGATGAGGAGCGTGGAAAATTGTCTCAGCAACTGTCGGAAGGGAAAAGGTCGGCTAAAGGAGAATCGGGAAATATTAATATTCTCCTAAAGTCGGAGAAAAAGAATCTGATAAAGATCAACAACGAGAACTCGCTCGGAAACGAGCAACGGCCGTTCGTCGTTAACAGATTCGACGTGAAGAAGAAACTGGTAGTGGAGAACGAGGAAAAGCCTGGGAAATCGGTGTCCATGATATTCAAAGTAAAAGTCGAAAAAAAGGACAGCGAAGAACGCGTGAACGTAGGGACGAGGGATAGTCGATTCGACGCAGACGTTTTCGATCTTGGGAAGAACAAACCTAACGAAGAACCGTACAAAGACGCGGTCGGATTTACGAACGACCTGAAACAAAGGAACGTCGATGAAGAACGGCTTAAGAACTCCGCGGAGTTCGACAAAGGACCAGCACAAAGGAACGAAGGACCCCGAAACTGGTACGAAGGCGTAGCCGGTGACCAGACGAACCTCGAACAGGGTGCACCGAAGAAGTGCAAAGAGGAGAGGGATAAATTTCGAAACGAGGAGGAACGGTTTCGCGACGACAAGAAGAAAGGGGAGTCTAACGACGGGGCAGGCTCGAAGGACGCGAGCGCCTCTATTCTGGATGATAACCTCAAAGATTCCCAAGGGGACAATAGAAAGAAATATAAGGAAGTATTTATACTGACCGATGGTGTGGGCGAACGGAAAATGAATGACAAATATGTTCAAAGGAGAATACTTCAATACATGGAATATTCAAACGACGACGTCGAGGACGCTGATTCGAATTACAGCGACAGGGAGGAGGAGGAGGAGAATCGACAAGACGGGGCAGCCGGTGAGCAAAAAATGTATCGCGATAAAGATACGAAAAATAAATTTTATTCTTTTTATTTTTCATAAGGAATCACCTCCAGACCGCTTTTACATATTATTTTAAATATTTTTAAGAATAAATCGACGTTATTATTCTTTATACGCGAGTTGCTTGAAACTGGAAATGGGAATATTTTCGAAACTACTGGTTATATTGAAAAATGTTTCAGACAAAACATGTATCTTTGATTTGGAATTATATATTTTTTCATAGACTAATCGATTCAGCTCGTTATATTTTACAAGAAAGTATACAGCTGGTTGTATCGAAAAACCTGTGCTTCAAAAGATATTTTAATTTCAATATTGCAAAGTACTAGTACAATTGCAGTCATGTTATAACTATAATTGCAACCATTAAATTTCTATCCATGGAGAACACTGAAAGATAATATACGAATTATTGAAGCGTATAGGAATATCATTCCATCCTGTATAAACACTGTTCTTTCAACAAATCTTTTCGTATCGTTTTCAAAGAGGGACTTTGAAAATACTTCGCCTGGCAATAAAATATTCTTTTATCAGAGAGTGGCGTGCCAAGGCAAAGGAAACAACGATCACCGCAGACCGGCAGAGCTAATCCGGTGAAGGCGAAACTGAACGTTCTGATAAAAGAGAAGCTGGACAAGAAGAAAAAGTCTGAACGCAGATACAAGAGGAAGAGACGCAACCCGGTCGACATTATACAGTACTACGATTACGACAACGATGTTCAGGAACAGGATGGCGACCCTCTGTCCGCTGTCAGCGAGGAGGAACGAGCGGGAAACAATTACGAGCAGAACAATCCCGACGAATCTAACGCGGTAATCGGTAATATTGCTTGCACCTCGAAATCGTTGTAAATTAAACGTCGAGCTCACGGTTACATTTTCGAGCGCAGCTGAGAGCGACGGGGGTACCGTGATTTGTTTACCGCCTGCCCAGAAGAATGACGAGCACGAGAAGGAAATGCTGAAGCAGGAGAGGCTGAAGGAGAAGATGAAGAACAAAGAACCGAAGGAACAGTTCATCTCGATCGGCAAAACGTCGTCGAAAAATGCGACCGAGATGGCTGGAAAACAGAGCGACGCCGCGTCGTCCTCGAAGCTCGAATTCGCCGAAGAGGATGGATCGTCGGGAAGGTTAGATCAAGGTGAAGATTACGCGAACGGTCCGCGGTAAATTTTCGAACGCGTAGAATCTAAGGGACGAGGCGACGTGTCGAGCTTGTAAACGCAACTTTTCTAAACGCCTCGTCAGGTTAAACGAAGAGAAATTCCCATCGAGCGGCGCGAGAGAAACGATGGCGGACCCGGCAAACTGTATTCAAAACGCGGACAAAAGCTCGAAACCCGTATCGTCGGACGATTCCATCGATGGCGTCCGTTTCGCGGATGGAAAGTACGTTTCGTTTTGTATTTAGATACTGGTCGGGGCCACTGCTCGACTCTGTTTTCGCAGGAACGACGAGCCGTTGTACGACGAATTGAAGAAACTGTACGATTGGAGAGACGACGAATCGAAAAGCAAACCGAGAATCAAGGGGGACCAGAGAATGTATCACGAGGCTAATGACGAGCGGGAATCGTTCAAGGATCATTCGGAATCACCAGACAGCAAAAGTCCGTCACGAACGTCCAGTAAACGTTAACAATTATCGCGTATACTCTCGATTCGTATCGATCCGTCGATCAACTTCACCGTTCCAGATCCCAGCCCGAACTTGCTGCCTCTGTTGCTCGTGCACGGTGACCCGGGGAACGCAGAGATCGTCGAAAAAGCATCGTCGATCGTTTCGTCCGAGCGAGCGGTAGGCCTATGCGCGGGCAACGTTTCCCAAAGTAATTACGTCGCCCTAAAAAGCACGGACGATATGTTTAAAGGCGGGCCGGAGCAAAGTAACAGCACCGAGGCGAAATTACGAGGGCCTAGCGCTATCGGTACTACCGGCGAATGCACGGGGCAAAAGGTGAAAAAGCAAACCTAAGCGTTTCCAATAAATTATTGCCCCGCGACTCGACTTTACTCTCGCTCTATAAACCTTGAATCGCAGGTGAACGGGGCGAGAAACGACGCCGCGAGCTGGTCATTACCGGGCCAGAGGCAATATATCGACACAGATTCGCGTTCTCCTTACGAAAATCGTAAATATCTGGCGCCGCGGTCGGGCCGGGAACGCGTCCAAAATATAGATCGCGAAAAACAGACTGTTATTAGCTCGAGGGATTTGCACGAGTCCTTCGTCGAGCCTCTGGACTGGATCGATGATTTCGACAAGGATATAAGGGTGAGGCTCAGCAGGGGCTTGAAGACCGTCGAAAACATGAGATCTAACTCGCCGACGAACGCGATACTCGAAAAGAATTTAGACCTTATGGCGACAGCGACCTCGTCCGAAACGGGCAACGTTAGAGCCAAAAGAACGGTCGATTCGCGTTACGAAACGTTTAACGACGATACGAACGAACTCAACTCGGAGAGAATGGATTACGATCGTCGTTCGAAGAAAACGGAGCCGATGGACGATCGTGTTCGGTTTTGGAATTCGTACGAAGACAAACTCCCCGACGCGGACACGGAAGTCGAGGAGTACGGTTCTCCAGAAGATGACGAGGACCACGAGGATTACGCGAAAATAAGCAGAAGCGTTAAATCGAAGAAGAACGATAAACGCAACAAAACGTTGAAGAAACAGAAACGGAAGGGTCACGCGAACAAATCGAGCAACAGGAAACGAAGACATCATAAGAAACATTCGAGCGAAACGGGAACGAAGAAAAAACATAAGAAACGCACGTCGAAACCCGGAAATCGTCACGGGAACGTTAAAAAGAGCAAAATTCCACGGGACGAGGGAAAAGCTCATCGTCGCGAATCGTCCGTGAAAAAAGTCAAATCGCGTCGCGAAGAAACCGACACCGGGGATGTGAGTAACACCAGACTGTAAATTATTTGTATCGAAGGTGAAGCACGACAATGGGTAACGCGTAATTTAATTAAAGAAAAGGATCGACGGTAATCTTTTAGACAATGACCCGGGACGACGATTCCCAAAGAAAAAGGTTCTCGTTGCTTCTAGCGGCCGATGACGTGGAAGATGAATCGCAAATGGACTCGGCTCTGCACGGCGAACTGGCTGGAAAGATCGTGGAACGCGTTTTCGAACAGGTGCATTTCAAAATGCATTGTCCTCGACAGTGTTCGTTACGATTTCATACTCTTTCAGGTTCAAAAGAACGAGGATCTGAAGGTATCGCTGGGCCCAGGACTTTACCAAAGACACAAAACCGACGACGCGGTGACGGCTAACAAAAGATATCGTCAGTCTCTCAACGATGATGACGTGAGTTTACGCATTCAACTTCGACACCCGGTTAATTCGAATAACTATAATAGAAGGTGGACAAATTTTTCGGCGAAATTAAAAAACTTCAGATCATTCTGGAAAAATTATTTTTAGTTGCAGGGGCCAATTACAATCATTTTCGGTGAATAGACATACCCTCGAAATCCTACGCATTTTCGAGAAAAAAATTCGAGTAGGCGGACAAACTCGACAAAATTCAAAAATTTCAAATCGTTCTGAAAAAATTATTTCCGGTTGCGAGAGTCAATTACAATCATTTTTCGTGAATAGACATAACCCCGAAATCCTGTGCATTTTCGAGAAAAAAACTCTTTATCACAAATATAATGTGTGATAAAAATAATAAAATATAATAAAATTTTAATAAATAAGTAATTATACATTTGTCATCATCGTGCCGTCTTTGACGCCATTAATGGCAATTTAAACAGATGAAACACACGGAAGAGTTGTTGAGAAAAGTTATGCTGCTTCTGAACAGATTGGTCTTCGACGAGGTTCAGAAAAAGACTTGCGTCTCTCTGCCGCCGGATTTGACAGAGTTCCTGGACTGGATACTGAACGTCAATCCTCAAGAAAGTTCGCTGGAACAAGTACTCGATGTTTCATGGACGAGTAACAGTTCCTTTCGAACGTGCTCTATTAAATATATTTTTTTATTCAGATCCCGTCGCTGCCACTGGTACACGAGAACGAGTCTACGGATCACTTTCCTCGGGACAAGTTTTTGTTTCAGGCTTTCCCGGATCTGGGAACGAAAGGCGAGATCGATGAATTGCGCAAGAAGCTTCGATTAATGGAAAGCCTGATAAGGGAGTACAACGCGCTGTCAGAGACGGAGAGGACGAAAGTGCGATCGGTTCACGATTACATGGCAAGTTATGAATATTCCGCGCGATTAGCCCGAAAACGTCGTGGCTTCTACGTCCTCTGGTCGGTCTGTTCAGGCCAAACAACTGGATATGCTGTTGGAGTACATCGAGACGAAGAAAGAGGACGGAAAGAAAGGGAAATCGTCGACTTCGATCGGCGCGGCTGTCGTGAAACCCGGAAGGATTTTTCACTATCAGACTGGAATTAAGAACGCGACTAATGGAAGCTATTTGACGGGATCGGACCTTGGCTTTTCCCCTTTAACGAACGTGCCAAATATGCTGAACTTTGGCAACGCGAGTCTCTTCGGGGACGGGGAATACTTTAGCGACAGTAAATATATTCGCGACTGTCTCGATACGGAGTTTTCGAATTTAACAACATTTTCTATGCCCTTTAGACAGCATCGACTTTCGCCGTAAAGGGCGCAGGGTGGCTCGTAGCGCTGACAAACGCCCAAAGCAACGCGAGAACCGTGTGCAACGCAAAAAGCGCAAGAAGAAACATCGGAAACGTTACAAAGGTGCGGGTGCTATTGATCAGTTGCAAAGCAAGGACAGCGTGCACGGGGTTACAGCGTCGCGACGGAAACGTGGATACTTGGACAAAGATTACTGGGACTCTTTCGTCGCGGGATACGAGGAACCGCTAATTTTTACGTCTATGGACATCAACGTGGAGCCGGACGAGTCGCGTGAAATAAAGGAACGTTCGAGGAACGAAAATACAGAGAAGTATGTACCAAGTTGAAACTATACAGAGCTAACAAAGTGAGCTCGAAAAATTCCAAAATAAAATTCGTACGAAATGTTTGTTTGTAAATGAAATATAGTATAGAGTATAGGGAGTATGTATTTTTTTGTCTATTTCGATCCTCGTTTAAATCGTATATGTGTTGTTATTATCACATTCGTACACAAGTACAGGACTCGATATTGGAAAGACGCGCTTGCCAAAGGGATAGATGAAAATTACTCGAACGAACGGAACGTCGATCTTTCGACTTCGAATAATTCAATGAGGAAGAGGAAGACTTCAAAAACGACGGAAAGTTCGAGCACCTCAACGAGTCAAAGTAATCATACGTGATATGTAGAAACGTAGTAGCATTATTGTGATAGTAATAGAAATTAAAAAATATTGTTGTCAGGTCCATTCGTGGAAAGAGAGGAACCGATAACGGGAGAAAACCGAGTGGAGGACGAGGTAATATTGCTGAATAAGCGACAATCGTGGAAAAAGGAGAACGAGGAACAGTTGGAGGAAGTTGCGTTTGGCGAGGACATGAGGAAAGGGTCGAAGGACAAGGAACTGTTCGAGAAACTGATCGAAATAGATAAGGAGAAGAGCACATCGAAGTCGACCGCGAGAAGTAAACGAAAGGACGAGAATAACGTATCGCCGATTAGTTCGAACACGCCGCGGGAAAATGATTCCAAAGATTGCGTTGCCTGCGATCGAAGCCATAATTACGGTTTATCGAACGAGGACAAGCTGAGAATGCTCGAGAGAAAGATAAACGTTTATTCGGATCGGGACCAACCTGTTCGATATGCTACGTGTTCGTAAGAAGGGTGAAACGAAAAGTTTGGGTAGAAGAAGACGAGTGAAAATTAAGAACCA